TCGTTTGCCGTGAAATATAAGGCATCGACTGATTCCCATCGCCGCTGACTGGTCTTTGACGATGGTGATTTGGTGTGGGTTGTCTTTACGAGCGACCGGATGCTAGCTCGCGCTTACGATTAACTCAAAGCAAAAAAAATTTGGTCCATTTAAGGTTATTGAGCACATAACCGATAATGCTTATCAGCTGGAGTTGCCTTCTGATATTACCACCTCCGACGTCTTGAATGTCCATTATCTTTCACGCAATCTTCCCGCTGATCCAGTTCTTGATTCGAGGTCGAATCTTTCTAACCAGGGGGGACCTGATGCAGCAGCATCCTAGAAGACACGAGAAGACACAAGCATTATCACTTCTATCCTTTTGCTAGAATAGTTATTATTTCCTTTTTTTATTAAGTTTTCTTTAAGTTTTCCTAATCCTAATCGACTTGTGATTAGATTAGACTCCTATTTAAAGCCACGCATTAGGCTTCTTTGTTCTCAGTTTTGAACGACATTAATAAAGAGCTTTCTCTTTTACCTTGCTTTAATTCGATTAAGTTCATCAAACCGGGAAGTCTTGCATTGATTCGATTGAATTCATCAATTCAAGAACACAGGTCTCTAGTGATTACCTTAAATTCCAAGATTGAGCTGAGTTTTCTATCTTTACACTGCGCCAGAAATATCCCATATCGAAATTTGGGAGATATCTTGGGTAATATATAAGGGATTTGGACCAATCCACTCATTACCAATTGGTTTTGAGTATGAAGTCCTGGAAATTTAATATGGTATCAGAATTCGATATGCACATTCTCGTAATTCGGCCCGAAAAGTGACATGTACTTTTGGACCCAAAATTGATGGTCTGTTGAGATTAGTGGCAAGAAAAACGATTATCTCGAAGGGGTATTGGGATTAATAGAGATTATTGGGCCATGAAACCTTAATCTCTAGAGAGTATGTGGGAAATATCATACATTAAAAATTGAAAGAAATCTAATATATAAGAGATTTGGATCAAGTTACTTATTGCCAATTAATTTTGAGTTGGAAGCTCAGAAATCTTAACAATATGTACTACTGTACAATCTAAAATTTTATTCTCAAAAATTTAGGTCATGGTTAGATGGTAAGACAAGAAAATTTTATTTTCCAAATTAATTAAAAAACTAACTGTCTTACACTATGATGTAAAAACAAAGTGCTTATAGTCATGGCACCTTTAACGATGACCAAAAAACTGACAGATTCCTCATATGTTCGGCTTATTTTCACAACCATACAAATCAGTCAAGAATTAATAACACGTAAGAAATTCTATCCTTTAACTATTAATATCCATTTTAAACAGAGGGCAGCTCTTAATGACTCATTGAAACATTAGCATGATCGCTACTAACATATACTATGTTTATTTTATAATGTAAGACATTTTGGTTAAAAACATGAGGATTAAGAATCAGTTAATAAATATTTTCTAAACATAAAAAAAAACTTTTAATTAAAACACTCAATGTTTCTGTGATTAGAATCTAATGATTATAAATTACTTTTAATCTTTAGTTTTTGAACATTTTTACTATTTATTTGTAATTAGGTTTTGCAGATAGATGTGAAAAATATTTTATATTTTGAAACAAAAAACTATACTCAAAAACTTTTTATAATTTATTGATATATGAAATTATTATTTCTTACTACACTTCCATTGTATTAATTTTTGGAAATAATTTATCGTAGGATACACATACATCTCATTTCATGGAGTATATAAACATCCAAAATATATAAAACTATAGAATTAATCCACAAATTGATGATAACAAACCTCCATAGGATAGAAATAAACCTTTGAATGGATAGAAAAGCTTTTTTTCTTCTATAACTAATTTTTTAGGGATATGTGGGCCTGTAAGTTTTTTAAGATAGTGTCGAAACAATGTAATTTAATTTTTTTTTTTGAAATCTTTTTAAGTCCTTGTGTGCTCAGCAGTGCTCAAATAGTCGCTAGGCGCTAGACGGACAGACGGGCACAGACTAACGCAGAGACCAAAAATCGCTGATTAATCATTGATTAATTAATGATTAAATTTTAATAATTATTAGATGTTTTAGTTACTTTTATTAGTCTTTTCTTGTAGAATCTACATATTTTGTTTTAGATTTAGGTTTTAAAGATTTAGTTTGATATTATCATATGTAAAAACATCAAATGAAATTTAAATACCATTTTTAAACTTGAAATGCATAAAAAAAGTCAAGATGAATCTGTTTTTGGGTCTCATTCTGTTTAATTTGGAGGAAAAAACGTTGGACTCTTTTGGGCTTTTTTTCTGTTTTCCATAATTGGGTCAAAATTTTTTTCTAAACCCACTCTTATTTTACCGATTTTTTTGAATTATACAACAAATTTTTTTTTTTGCGTTGACTTTTCACAAAACGCGGTTGACCGCCGATTAAACCGCCGAGGAGCTAATCGCCGCGGTCACCTTCTTGGTGGCTAGGCGGCTAGGCGGCCGCGTTTTTGAACATGGGTGCTCAGTAGTGAACTTATCACCTTACTCACTAAACCAACTTCTTGGTGGATGGAAACACTTTTTGTTTGGTTTAAATGTTAAGGATAGAAACACTTCTCATAGAAGAAAGTAAAAAACAATCCTAAAATCGAGTGTCTCCTAGCAAAACTCCTATGATAGCATCATAAAACCGTTGTGCAATACTTTTATGGATGATATGTATCTAAAAAAGGTCTCCTCTTCAATAACTAGTACATAACAACTTATTGATATTTGTTAATTTACAACACTATATAATGTTCATATGTGAAATTCTTACCTGAATAACTCTATGATATATCATATACGACAAAGAAGAATATATTCTACATTTCTACCATGTGAAATTATATACGTGCAACCATAGTGTAACATCTCAGCTCATCAAAAGGTTCAGCAGGAGGCCCATTCCAAATCTCTGCAGATATAAAAGGGTAAGTCTTCAGGAATGAGCCTCATTCCCTGCAAATCAGCCCCCAGCCAGAGAGAGAGAGAGAGAGAAAGAGAGAGAGAAAGAGAGAGAGAGAGAGAGAGAGAGAGAGAGAGAGATCGCCCAGCAGAAGCAGAGAGCCCTTGCCGCCGCTGATCTCCTCCCTGCTGCCGTCAGAAGCTTTGCCGAGCCTCCTAGAGCCGCCACACGTCAATCCCAAGCCGAGGAGGAGCCGCAGAGAGCCTCTTCCTTCTTGTCCTCTGCTTGATTCTTTTAATTCTCAGTCTCCTTAATCCAGATCTGTAAACTGGTCAAGGTGAGGAGTAAGTCTAGATTCTTAGGACCTTATTTGTTTGTTTTTGGTGTGTTGAGTTTAGAACTATTCAGGTATTTGATTTGATGCATTTAGAAAGATCATGAGAAGGTGAATTGAATAAGAGAAGCATCAGATGAAGCACTAGCATGAATTTTTTGTTCACCCTGATGATTGGATAATGATTGTAAAGTAGCTAGAAAAGAGGTGATCGACTAGTGCAGAGACACTAGGTTCGGTTATTGTTTGTTGGGGTTCATGCCTGGTAGAAAAGATGATCCACATCGCTAGGTGGTTGTGGCGAACAACTCATTGTCTGTGTGACCTAAGAGTTTGCCATGTCTTGAACATGATGAGAGTTTGCCATGTCTTGAACATGATGAGAGTTTGCCATGCCTTGAGCATGATGATCCGGTGCACTTGAAATTGTTTGTGTGTTTGTAGAGCACTGTTTATTACTTGTTTAGTTTTAGCCTTGATATATTGAAAATAAATGGATAATGTTCTGGGAGTGTGAATTTATTTCCTCACTGAGTAGTTTTTCCAAATTACTCACCCCTTTCGAATATCTATTTTTCAGGTGAGTATGAGGATTATGACCTCGATGGCTACGAGGAGGAGTAGTCCGAAGTGGTGTGCTTTTCGGGATGGGTTTTCTTTTGTTTTATTCTATGTCAGTATTTCTTTTAAAGACTTCTTCGTAATTTGCTTCGCTTTTTTATTTCTAAGAATAATTTATAAATTTAACTGCAAGACTTGATTTTTATTTAATGAATAAGAGTATTATTCCGGAATATGTTTATTTAGTCTAATAAATATAGTAAACCGGTTAGAGCTGAAGGTGAATAGTCCGGTTCGTTTGGTAGACGGGTCGGGGGTTCACAAAGTGGTAGCAAAGCCTAGGTTCGAGTTAGGAGAAAAATATTTCTAGGAAAAATGGTTTTACAAAAACAAAAAAAAAATTCTTAGGAAAAGTTTTCAGATTTTTAGATTTAAAAAAAAAAAAAATTTGATTTCTTCCTTCTTTAAAAAATTTGGGGGGGATTTTCTTAAAAATTATAAAATCACCACCTAGAACACTTTTCTCGTATGGTTATTATTATTTTTTTTTTGTAAGAAGTTCAGTCTTTACGGGTCTGGACTGACTTGTTTGCTGAATTCCCTTGTTCTGTCGTTTTCAGATGCCTCTGAAGGATAGAAATGTTCAAGGCTGTGCTGCAATTCCGCCAGTGAATGAGGAAGAGGTCAATTTCCCTGCGGAAAGTGTGAATGAGAGTGGGAACAATGTGCAAGTTCCGGTGGATGGAAACCACAGTGGAGCTAATCCTGCTCAGGTGACAGCTGAAGCTCATGCTGCGTTTTTGGAGGACCTGCGTCGTTACCAGGAAAGGTTTGGTAACTTGCAGAATAAGCCTGTCCCACCAGTGGATGTCCATCTGTAGAATTTGCGCCCCCTCTGCCGCCTCATGCGCCTGTGCATCAGCAGTTTGAGCCGCCCTGGCAAATGCTCAGCATCAGTTTGTGCCCCCCGGTGAATGTTCATCAGCAGTTTGTGCCGCCACCGCCTCCTCCGGTGCAGCCTTATGCGTTTGGGTTAATGTATTATAAGGCAATGAGGCACTTGAAGGACATGAACATGGAGTAATTTGGTGGAAGGTCTGACCCTGTCACTACTGACAATTGGAGAAAGAAGCTGGAGAGGAATTTTCAGTCCATGAGGTGCCTAGAAGGATACTGCAGAGAGTTAGCAGTTCAGTACTTGCAAGACGAGGCACTGATTTGGTGGGAAAGTGTGGTTGAAGGAGTCAGTAGACGCTATGAGCTGACATGGAATGACTTCAAGGATGAGTTCTCTCGTGAGTACTTTCCACCAGAGGAAATGGACACGTTGAAAAGTGCTTTTGAAGATTTGCGCCAAGGAAACCTCAGTATGAGGGAGTACAAGGAGGAATTCAACAGATTGAGAAGATTCTCTAGAAAGAGTTTCACTCAGGCTGATCTGATTCGTCTGTTCATGAAAGGTTTGAGGTTAGAGCTGAGGAACCGTTGCTCGCTCGGAAGGTACCTGAGTTTGGTGGAGCTTGTGGAAACATCTGCTAACCAGGAAGTTGGTCTTGAGGAAGAGCTGAAGAAAGCAACGAGCTTTCAGACTCGCAGCAATGCATCACGTGTTCAGGAGACCCAGAAGAGGACGTGGATGGACGTGACTAGGAACTATCCTTCCGAGATTGCACCCTTGTGTAATTGCTGTGGGAAAAACCATTTTGGGCGCTGTGGATTAATCAGGTGCTTCGGGTACAACAGAGGTGGACACCTCCAAAAGGATTGTCGAGCTCATGGAAAGGACAACTGGTGCTACAAGTGTGGGCAGCGTGGACATTTTGCTAGGGATTGCAAAGTATACCCGCCTAATCAGACAGTTCCCGCGAATAATCATGGGGTGTTGCCAGCGCCATCAGCTAAGAGGCAAGATGTGGGACGTTTGTGTATACGCTTACGAAGACTGAAGGAGCAGCACCGATCGCAGGTATGTCTATGAGTTATTTTATTATAAAGATGTTCGTGATGCTTATGAATATGTGTGTGAAATAGAAATTGTGTGCTTAGACATAAGTATAAAATTATGTAGGATCGGTCTCCGTAAGGGGAGCCTTAGCTTACACTTTGTTTGACATGGGTGCCACACATAGTTTTGTGAGTCCGAGGTTGACTAAGTGTTGGACTTTCGCTAAAAATTTCATTTCGAAGTCGAAAGCAGTTGAGACTGCCGAAACAGAACAGGTGAAGTCTATTGGAGTGCACGAGGATGTGCCAGTCTTGCTTGAAGGAGCAGAGCTTCTATGGAATTTGGTGGAGATGAAGCTAGGCCAATATGATGTGATCCTTGGAATGGACTGGTTAAAGCACTACCAAGTCATTATGGACCGTGAAAAGATGTGAGCCTACATACCACGACCAGAAGGGAGATTGATGTTTCAAGGAATCAAGTCGGACACTGGTGTGCCGATAATCTCGATGATTCACGCCACAGACTTAATGGAGAAAGGATGTGAGGCATATTTGGCGATAATTTCCATGACTGGAGAAGGAGAGTTGGAGAGATTGGAAGATATACCAGTAGCTAACGGGTATGCAGACGTATTCAAACTGTTAACTGGACCGCCACCCTCTTGAGGAGATGATTTCACCATTGAGATAGAACATAGAACAGCCCCTGTTTTGAAGTCTGCTTATCGGCTAGCACCAGCAGAAATGGTTGAATTGAAGAAGCAGTTGGAGGATCTGATGGAAACAAGTTTCATCCGACCAAGCAGTTCGCCATGTGGAGCGCCAGTGTTGTTTGTGAAGAAGAAGGATGGGAGTTTTCGCCTCTGTATCGGTTACCGAAGGCTGAATAAGGTGACCATCAAGAATAGATATTCGTTGCCACGAATTGACGAGTTGTTGGACCAACTGCAAGGAGCTTCGTGATTTTCGAAGATTGATTTAGCATCAGGCTATCATCAAATTTGGATAGCTGAGGAGGATGTCAAAAATACAGCATTCCGAACCTGTTATGGACATTTTGAATTTGTGGTGATGCCATTTGGATTGAGAAATGCACCTGCAGCATTTATGAAGTTGATGAACAATCTTTTGCGAGCATACTTGGATAAGTGTGTGATTGTTTTCATCATGACATTTTGGTCTACTCGAGGTCAGAAAGGGAGCATGTTTGGCATCTGCAGTTAGTGCTAGAGGAGCTAAGAAAGCATCAGCTTTTTTCTAAGTTGAGCAAATAGACCTTTTGGCAGAGGAAGATTGGAATTCTTGGTCATGTTATCTCAGAGTAGTGAGTAGCAGTGGATCCAAAAAAGATTACTGCCGTGACGGAATGGCCTGTTCCTAAGAATGTGACAGAGGTCCGTAGCTTTTTAGGATTAACCGGCTATTACCGCAGATTTGTGCCGAAATTTGTGAAGTTGACAAACCTGTTGTCAAGTTTAGTCAGGAAGGATGAGAAGTTTGAGTGGACAGAGGATCGAGATAAGAGTTTTGAGGAGTTGAAGAAGCGCATAACTGAAACTCTAGTGTTGGTACTGCCAAGGCCAGGAATACCATATGAGGTCTACACCGATGCCTGCAGAACAGGTATAGGTGGTGTGCTTATGCAGGAAGAGAAAGTCATAGCATATGCCTCGAGGCAGTTGCGGAAGCACGAACTGAACTATCTCTCACTCATGATTTTGAGCTAGCAGCAGTTGTGTTTGCTTTGAAGATCTGGTGTGCTTATTTCTACAGGGAGAAGGTGCAAATATACACAGATCATAAGAGTTTGAAACATGATTTCACTCAGAATGATTTGAATTTGAGGCAGAGAAGATGGATGGAGTTTTAGCAGATTATGATTTGGATATTGCCTATCGCCCGAGAAAAGTAAACCAAGTGGCAGATGCTTTGAGTCATTGCAGAGGAGATGTTGCTAAGGAAAAGGAAATAGAGAATCTAACCACAACAGTGACAAGTCTTCAGTTGTGTGTTACTGAAGTGGAAGAAAATTTCACGGGTCTTAAAGCATTGGAAAATGCGGATCTTCTATAAAAATTTTGTCAAAAGCAGAAGAGTGATGATGCTCTAAAGGAAATGGTTGAGAAGAAAGTGGTTAGGTACCACATGGCAGATAATGGAGCTTATATGTATAAGAAACGAATTTGTGTTCCGAGCAGCGAAGAGTTGAGGAAAGAAGTGTTGAGTCAGATAACTGGAAGTTCTCTATTCATCGTGGAAATACCAAGTTGTATCGAGATTTGAAGAGGTATTATCATTGGGGAAGAATGAAAAGGATATTGAAAAATGGGTCTTTCAGTGCGAAATCTGTAAGAAGGTGAAGGCAGAGCGCATGGTTTCCAGTGGATTACTTCAGAGCTTACCACTACCAAAATGGAAATGGGATATGGTAACCATTGACTTTGTCACGGGCTTACCAATGACATTGGATAAGAAAAACGCAATTTGGGTAATTGTGGACCTTCTGATTAAGTCTGCTCATTTTGTGCCAATTCGGAAAACTGATGGAGCAGAAGCTTTGGCACAAAAATATTTGGATGTGATTGTGAGGCTGCATGGAGTTCCTGTTAGTATTGTGTCAGATAGAGATGCAAAGTTCATAGCTGTGTTTTGGAAAGCATTTGAGAAGGTGCTAGGAACAAAAGTGTATCTAAGTACGGTGCTTATCATCCCCAGACCGATGGTCAATCGGAAAGGACAATCCAGACCCTGGAAGATTTGTTGAGGTCTTGTGTTGGACTGAGAAGGAAATTGGGGAAGCTATCTTCCGTTGGCAGAATTCTCCTACAATAATAGCTATCATTCTAGCATTAAGATGGCTCCATACGAAGCACTGTATGGAAGACCATGCCGTACACCTCTCTGTTGGACCAGTGTAGGAGGAATGAGTGAAATGAATCCTGAATTGGTAAAGGATGCCGCCAGCTAGTTGAGTTGCTTAAGGCAAGGCTGGAAGAGACTCATGACCGCCAGAAGAGTTATGCAGATTGATATGTTCATAATTTGCATCATTTAGGTTGCATAAATCATTCCAAATCATGTTTTATTTCATGCATTTTAGGTCCTTAGGGTTTGTTTTAGAACTTAGGAGATGCATTAGGTCCCAATGAGTCTTTGCATGTTTTGAGTGTTTATCAGGAGCATTTGGAGCTGAAAAGATGGATCCAGGAGGTGGAATAGTGATCAAGGCTTGAAAAAGGGTGAAATGAGGTCTTTGGAGGTTATCGGCCATTCTCGCTGGCCAGGAAGGTTTTACCGGCTATTTTCGTGTACCGCGGGAAGCTTTACCGGCCATTTTCATGTACTGCAAGTGAAGTGTATCGGCCAAAATCTCCGGGTGTAAACATGTCTCAGAAATCGCCTGTCCGGGGAACCTTCCGGTCCGATTCAGATGGTGGGTGCTTCATAGAAGTTGGAGAGGACTTGATCACGGTTTCACAGAAAGTAGAATCACGGAATTCGGACGCCTGAGCAGGAAGTTAAGCTCGTCGGAAGGAACCCCTGTATCGCTGTTGTTTTGGACCGAGCCGACGAGTTCTGAAAAATGCGAAGGACGGAGTACTCCCAGGCCGATTCAGTTTCCTGGGCCTCCATGAGAATCAGAGACATTTGAGTCCTCTTTCCAGAACATCCAAGATCATCCAGTTCAGAGCTATGAGAAGGAAGATACGGTCTCCGGAATGGACATATGTATAGATGGCCCTCTCTGATCATGTAAATGCATTACGAAGATGAGCCCTCCAGGAAGCCTTCCACTTCCCAAGCACCGAAGCTTCCTTCACCAAAGTTGGAGATAATGAGTTCTCTGTCTTCTGCAACCGGAATGACTCAATTCGGACAAGTCTCCAGGAAGTTACACTCTCCGGAATGCGAGATGGTCCAGACAGCCCAAAATGACTGAGTTAAACATGCCGCGATGGAATGCCACGGTCCACACTTGGCCGTGGAAACTTTTGTGCACCCTCGGCAAATGACACGATCTTCATGCCACGGTCTACACTTGACCGTGGCAAACATACACTTGGTTGAGAAGAACTTTGCAACCATTCGGCGATTGACACGACCTAAATGCCACGGCCTGAGGCTTGACCGTGGCAACTCCTGCAAACCTTCGGCGATTGGCACGAGCTGAATGCCACGGTCTGGGACTTGACCGTGGCAAATGAACAATTGGCTGGAGACAACTTTTACACAGCTTAGGGTTTTGGCACGGTTTCAATGCCACGGTCTGAGACTTGACCGTGGCAAACAAATACTTGGCTGGGAAAGATTTCACATACATGCGGGTTTTGACAGGATCTGAATGCCACGGTCTAGGAGCTTGACCGTGGTAACTTTTACACATCTTCGGCGTTTAACACGGTGACTTGCCACGGGTTCCAGACGAAGCTTGATCAGACCGTGGCATCAAAAGGAACCAAGAACACAAGTGAAGACTTTGACACGGTCAGGATTGCCACGGTCACACCAAGAACACACCAGACCGTGGCAAACCCATCTTTGCCCACCAAGGCCGGGTCAGTACCCGGTTTGTTCCGGGTTGACCCGGTTCGCCCAAGTCATCTATATAAGGTTTTTAGACCTAATTTGTGAAAAACCCTTAATCTACTTTTAGTCTTATTTCCCCTTTTGTGAAAACCTACTTAATACACTTTGTTTTAGAGAGCTTAATATCGATTTTGAAGTTTCTTTTTATCCTGTTCCATAATTTCTTATCATCAAATCAAACTTCTAACCATGATTAACAACACATCTTGCAAAGGATTTAGTGTGTTGATCATGATTAGTGAGTAGTCACCTTAATGAGGTTCTAGATGTGTAGGTTAGGGTGCTAAAGTGTTAGATTAGGAGTGCTTAGGGCTAGATTCATTGATTCATTTCTCTAAACAAGTGTTCTCTATGCTAGATCCTTGATAATCACTTGAGATCTAGATTCTGGGAATTTCATGCACCAAAAGTGTTTGATGAAATTCCTGAAAGAGCTGTATTAGAGGTTTAAGCATTTTTCTGCATGATGATGTATTGTTATTTGCTTGAATGATCATTGAGAACTGTTTATTAATGCATATTGATTCATATTTCACAAATGGGAATTTGGTTTGAAAATGGATTAGTATAGGGGTTAATACCTTCATGAGAGGATTAACCTAGATTAGAGTTCTTAATCATTTGAATCATGTCTCATCATTGTCATTAGCATTTCTAGTTTAGCACCAAGCACCCTAACCAACTATCATGTCTAGAATCTCATGCCTCCATCATAGTATATTCACATCATTTGTCATTGCTTAGTTCTTGTTTTGTCATTGCATTAGTCTTTAATCCAGTTTATGTTTGTAGTTGTCTCTAGATTAATCAAAATCCACTCTTGTTTGCTTGAATTAAGAACTTGA